CCGGGAGGTACAAGAGAAGCTGAGAGCCGCTATGAGTAAACAAAAATCATATGCGGACCGGAGGAGGAGACCTTTGGAATTTGAGGGGGAGACCATGTATTTTTGAGAATCGGACCTACTATCGGAGTAGGAAGGGCAATTAAATCTAAGAAGTTGACTCCCAAGTTTATTGGCCCATATCGATTTTGAAGAAGGTAGGTCCAAGTGGCATATCGCTTAGCATTGCCACCTCATTTGGCAAATCCGCACAATGTATTTCATGTATCTCGGTTGAGGAAATATGTACATGACCCCAGTCATGTCCTCGAAGTCGAACAATGTGCAGATTAGAGACGATCTCTCTGTTGATGTGAGACCAGTAAGGATAGAGGATTCTCAGCTGAAGCAACTTAGAGGTAGAACTATCTCAATGGTAAAGGTAGTATGGGATCAGAAATCCGAAGACTTCACTTGGGAGATGGAGGATCAGATGCGAGAGTCTTATCCATATCTATTTCCAAGTAAGTTTATTTTCGAGGACGAAAATTTTTGTAGAGGGGAGATTGTGACGTATGCCTTATTTTAATATTATATTAATATTACTGTGCAAGAAAACTTCGTAACGAAGTTTTCCTCATGCATAGTAAAATTTTTTCTTATATATGAATACTGAAGCGGGGGAGGAGGGAAATCAAAAATTTTCCTCTCATCCTTCTTCTTCTATTGTCTAAATTTCAAGCAATGAGACTCTACTCGTACAGGATCTGGTGAAACGGAAGAGAACTTTAATTAAGTGGGAAAGCTTCGGTAGAAATACCATACCAAGTAAGGGGAAATTTAATTCATTCAATATATGAAATTGAATTGTTGGGTGCTCTGTGAATAAGGAATAGGAGTAAATATATGAATTATTTGAATGTCTGATTTTGAAGAATGTCTGATTTGGAAGAATTTCGATTTTGATGAACTCGTTCATCGTTTGAAAGTTTTTGAAATTCTTGAAATTAAGGATGAATTATATAATAAAATTGTTGTTTTTAACTTAAATTGAACATGTTTATGGTTTAATTTTGATTTGGAACTAATTTGGGTGATTGAAACCGAGAAATTTAAAACCTGGATTTTGAAAATGGCGAATCTGGAGGTGATTACTATTCATATTTTGCAAATTTTTAAATATTGATTAAATTCTTGAAATTAAGGATGAATTATATGGTAAAATTGTTGTTTTCAACTTAAATTAGATATTATTCATGTTTAATTTTGATTTGGGACTAGTTTGGTTGTCTAAAAGCTCGAGTAATTTGAAATCTGCCAAAATATGCAAATTTTGGTACTATTATTGGGGCGAAGGAAGAAAAAAGGGATATGGTGGAGATTTTTTAAAAAGATCAAGGGTAAAATAGTCATTTTCATCCTAGGGACATAAATGTAATTTTCGAAAATGTTCAAGGGCAAAATAGTCATTTTACATCATAGGGACATAAATGGAATTTTCAAAAATGTCCAAGGGTAAAATAGTCATTTAGAGACATACATGGAATTTTAAGAAAAGATTAAGGGCAAAATAGTAATTTAATGATTTCGAAAATAGTTTCGGAAATAGTTTCGGAAATAGTTTCAGAAATGATTTCGGAAATGATTTTAGAAAAATATATATATAAAGAGAGAGAGAGAGAATGAAAGTAGTGTGTTGTGACGTGTGTGAGTCGACTGAGCCCGAGGGCCGATGCCCGAATCGGTCCCGAGACGTTATATATTGGCTAGACCGAGCCGGATGGTTGGTGCCGAATCGGTCAAATACTATTTTTATTGACCCGAATGAGCCGTGAGGACAGATGGTCCAGAATCCGACAAATGTGAATAAATTTTGTTATGTTTGAATGATACCCGGGGTGGTACAGAGTACATTAGTGTAATAACTATGTCGGATGATTCTGAATGAGGTCTCAGACTTCACTGATTGGTCGGGTCAGGTAAACTACGAGATCAGGTGGTGAGAAGTCGATGAGGGGATGACTGGTGGTGCGCTCGGAGGGTACTCCAAGATGAGTGATGAAGGGTGCCGATAATCTTACTCTGTGTGGAGGGTGGTCGAATGGTACTGCGGTATCGATCACAATGTGCCCACAAATGATAGCCTCCGAGTTCGGGCATAGTTAGGGTATACTTCCGAAGGTGTCTTAAGTGTGTTGATAATTTCGTAATTGATCATAATATATAATTATTACTTCTATATCTGTTTTATTATATCGAATGATTTAATACTTACCCCTATTTTTCCATGTGGATGGGACTGCGATGATCACTTTTATGTGGGAGCATATCGGAGTTGAGAGATGGTGATGTGACTACTCGGACAACGAGGATAGTTCAGTGGGATAGCTTCGAGGAGCTACTTTTACATGTATAATATATAAATAAATTATGTTACTATATTTTGAAAGTTCTGTTAGTGAACTTGAATTTCAATATATGTTACAATTACAGTAATATAATGTAAAATAGATGTTGTTATTTACTACTTTGCGAAGACATCATTATAATAGCGATTTCTAGGGTCGTTACAAAACGTCGTATGTTGAATGCTATTATGTATCTTGAAAAATATTATATTGTGATATAATAATTATTAAGGAGTAACCTCATGTGTGTACTATCGTATATATAGATATTAATTTGGGTCTCAAGAAGATATCTTGAATTCACGAATCACTTGAATCACATAGATGGAATGATTAAGTCGTGAGTGTTGAAGGAGATTTCTAAAAACTTAACCCGTGGTACAAAAAAAAAAAAAAAGCTAGGTATCCTAGTCACACGTTAATGTATATATCAAACTGAGCACCTTTATGTTATGTGCTTGGGGAGTTGTGGTATGATGGGGACAAATATTTGATGTTTATTTCAATATCTAGTTTTTCGGAAGTCATTTAGTGTTTTTGTAATGTAAATGCAAGTTTTGATAAGTGTGATATAATATATGAAAACTTGAAATTAAATTATCTTATATTTAAATTTTGTATACTTAAATCAAATTACTAATTTACGCTGTGTGCTTTATATATTACTTTGAACTGTGATGTGTTTATACCGGAACAAATGTTACAAATGTAAACATGTAAGTGTGAAGTTAGGAGTAATATATAGTGACATATTTTACCCATTAATTTTAAGAGGACCAAATAACATATTATTAATAAATAAAAATGAATATGAAACTTTAAATAAAGATGAAAAAAATGAAATGTCAAAATTGTAAATATAAAAACATGTATATTTAATTATTAAATTTGGAAGAATCATAAATATATATAAGATAAAAAACTTTGAAAGATTATCCCCACTAGGAAGAAGATCCATTATTAATAGTATAAATTATGTTTTATTTCACCCTTGAAGTGATATATCCAACATTTTAATTATATATCTAGTTACAATTAATAACTCTTTAAGTATTATTAATAATATTAACATAATAATAAATAAATTTATAATTTGTAAAATATATTTGAATAGTAGTATTGAAACTTTTTATTCTATTTTTCAAACCTTTTAATTATAAAGTGTTGAAATTTTCCATAACTAACTTATACAAGAAATTTAATCAACTGTGCACTTGATTAACTCTTATTATAATTGAATATATAAATTTAAATAATTAACTGAAGACTACCACATAACATTCTAAATTTTATATTATAATATTTATTGCTAGAAAAATTGGAAATAATGGAAATAAACTATTTACACTTCTTTTTGGAAATAATTGATGTCAAAACTTTAACTCAAATTATTTTCTCATATGCTCATTTTATATTTAATTTTAACAAGATTATTTAAAATAAAATTTATTATTTTATGAAATATATATATATATATATATATTAATTAATAATGTATAAACTAAATCTTTTAGTATATTTTTTTATTCTGAATAAAGATTAATTGCTGCGTACTGTGTTAACTAAGCATAAACTATCTTACCTTCCTATGGTTAACAATTAACAATTTATCATACAAATAATTGATAATTAAATCATAATCCAAAATATAATTATATTTTTATAGCATTTTAAGGAAAATATTTGAAATATTAATTCAGTTAAACTATCACAAGTAAATAAAATATAGTTTACGTGTTAGCAAGAATTTATAGAATTATGATTTAAAACACGTATAATAAAATTATTTTCTTTTAAATAAATACCATAAGAGCCACCATTACCTAAATTTCTTATCGATCAATCAATACTACTATACAATTTTTTACACTAAAAAGTTACAATATATATATAGAAATTAAATTAAATTATAAATAAAATACTAATAATACTCGTATTATAAATTTATTGTCTTTTAAATAAATAGCTTAAAAACCACTATCACCTAAATTTCTTATTGATTAATCAATAATATAAAAAATAATTACACTCACAATATATATAATTTAAATTAAATTAAAAAAATACTAATATATAATTTAAATTAAATTAAAAAATACTAATAACACACCCACTTATTTAGTTGCTGCTCCCTTAAGAAACCGACACCAAAACATAACCGTCACTAGGTCAGATCTCATACCAAACAAACCATATTTTTTATATTTATTTTTTATTTTGTCTTTTTCAGATCATAAATTAAAATCCTCTTTTGATATAAAAATAAAAATAAAAATAAAAATCGATGTTGCTTGATTCGAGTCTTGAACCAGCGGAGAAAATAACGCTCGCGTTGGTTTAGATCTGAGAAACGCTGCTACCAATTCCACCACACCACAGAAAAAAGAAAGAAAGAAAGAAAGAAAAAAAGGAATACAGAATGATTCGATTCGCAATCCATAGCCACCGTGAACCTCACCTCGAATGACATATACGACGTCGTTTTGTACCGTTCAACAACTCACAATCAAGGTTCTTCTCTCTTCCCTCCTAAACCTTTCGCTATTTATTTAGATTTTTTGTTCATTCATTCGTTGATATGATTTTTTATTCATTATTCCCTGTTTTTCGAATCGGATGGTTAGGTTATCCACTGTTTGGTTTGTACGGAAATAGAAATGAAATTTTGAGACCTTCACACACGACGTGGACTCGTTTGTGTGTGTTTTATAGATTTCAATTGGTGAGAATATAAGTTGTGAATATTTTTTAATTTATCTGTTTTGTTTTGGATTGTGAAGAACGTTAATGATTATAGTTGTGTCCAAATTTGATTTGATTTGGTGAGTTTTTTGGGTTCCAGGTTAGAGGAGGATTTGAGCGATGGCCAGGACTCAACTTTGGTGATTGCTGCGGTCACCGTGAGGAGTAATAACGGGGTGGATCGGAGAATGGACCGAAACAAGAGCCGTACCGATCTACTCGCAGCTGGCAAGAAAAGGGTATCTGTTCTTTGCAATATGAGTTTCAATTCTTGCTTTGATAAGTGTTTGTGTGCGTGTCGAGGAGGTGAATGGAGTGTAGCTCTTGTGATACTAGTGTTTTTTGGTAATTGGAATTTGGTTCCTATCAGAGTGTGGGAATTGTTATCTATGATTTTCAGATCGAAGAACTGTCGGATGTACACTATAATTTAGGGAGAATGTAGATTTGATAGCATGTGATGAAATTATCAAGTGTCAATGGCTTATAATTTAATTATATATTATAATTATAACAAGACCTAGCTAATCATGTAATCCCTTGTCTTATTTGTGAGCGGTTACTATGTGTATTAACATGTTCATATAATCCAAATTCACAAAAGAAAATAGTGCCAAGGACTGTACCCTGTAGCATTCATTCACCTGTTCATTTCATTTATGAAGGCTGATGTGCAAACCTTACTGGATTTGTTTTATTATTATTGTTGCTGTTGTTATTATTATAAGAAAACATGTCATGTTATCTTTTGTCTTTCTATTTGATTCATTTTACTATATTGTGTACAATTGACTGGTTACAGTCCTTAATTGTTTCTCACTCAATGTTTTTCATTTCAGCTCCAACAGTTTCGTCAGAAGAAGGACAATAAAGGTGGTAGTAGCCACGGAAGATCATCACATAAAGCTGGTAAACCTCAGCTAGCTGATTCTGATGCTGCAAATAATGCCTCAATTTCAACGGTATCATCTCAAATAACTGATGGAAATGTTGAAGCTGACAGTCACTCCTATGTGGTTAATACAGAAACATCAGAGTCACAGTCTATAGCAAACTCATTAGCTCCTGACAATATTGATCCATCTGTTGATTCATTGTCAGTTGTCACTAGATATGCTACAGGTGATGAAGCTGTATTGGATTCTAATGCTGAGCTAGTACATCAGGTTCATGGGGTCCCTGAGGAAGATAATGAGTTATCTGCCCAAGTTCAAGAGAAAATCGCTCAAGACATGGGTGCTGACATGCCAGAGGATGTATGTCTGAGAACTTCAGATAGCCTGGTTCCCGAAGGAGGAGAAACACATGATCATTCATCTACACCTGTTGCCATTTTGTCCCCGCCTACATCTATTACAACTGCAGTGGGTGAATCCTATTCAGTAGGAGAGGATGAAAAGGGGGAAGATTTGTTGCTTTTATCAGAGGATATTCCCAATATATCTGTGATGCGAACAAGGGAAGATCAGGTAACAGATTTAGGTTGTGCTCTCTCTTTCTCTCTGTCTGTAGACTCTGTACCCCGTTCCCCTTTAATGTTCTACCTTTATGTTTAGGTGTTAGGATATTAATTGGGCCTGCAGGGAAAACTAATAAATGGATTTGATTTATAATTTATATCCTCATTTGTTGCTGGGTAGGGGCAATGCAGGAGGCTGATGGTTTGGTCATGAAGAAATTTTGTCAAAGCACTGATGGGGTGAATGATGGTCAAAGGGAGCTGTGTTTGTCCGAGGTTGGCAAGAGGGACCAGTCTCTTTCAGGAATTCCTTTTGAGAAAACTATAATTGAGAAGGCATCTCATGAAGCTGAGCAACTGGGCAAGTCAATTGAATTACTCTCTTCTCACAAGGACATTGTGTCAGATAAGCTTTCAGGTTTTGATAAAGGCCAGGGAGATGATATTGCAACTGCAGGGACTTTAGTGAGGAATCTGGAGAGGGAAGCATTACCAGGCTCATATCATGAAGAAATTCTCCTTCAATCTAATCAAGAACAGAATAGCAAAGCAGTTATTTGTGAACAGGATCGGGGGCTTCAGGATGGGTTTTATCATCAATGCTCTCATGTTGGACTTGCAATTGAGGATCCAAAGTCAAGGGGAGCTCATGAGTTTGATCCAGCCAGACAGTTGGATGTGCCATCTGTTTTTGATGCAAAATCAATTAATCTCTTGCAGCTGGCTGAAATTATAAGGGGGCTTAATGAAGAAGAGTGTCAGTTTCTGATCAAGGTAAGAGGAGCAGAGTCTAATTTGGATCCTTTAGCCAGTGGTTCAGTTTTAGCTGACATATCAGAAGCATTTCAGAGTCTCAAAGAAGAATTGTTTCTTGCGAATTTAATGAAAAATATATTTAATGCTCAACTAGCTGAACTACTGGAACCTGACAACCAGGGTCACCAAGTTGTTGATGAAATATCTCAGCTCCGTGCTTCTCACAATGAAGTTAATGAGAAAAATCAATACCTTAGTGAAGAACTTGATAATTGCCGTGTTGAACTACATGATATATCTAGCAAGAATGTGGAACTACAAAATCAATTTAATGCTGCCATGGCTGAGGTGGAAGCCCTTTCTGCCAGAGTGTCTGAGCTGCAGAGTAGTTTTGATATGTCTCAAAAGGATTCATGGGAATTGTCCACAGAGTTGGCTGACTGCAGAGGCTTGCTCTCAAGTTTACAGGTGGAAAAGAAGGGCATGCATGAAACGCTTGATTTTATGATTGCTGAGAAAAATAAACTTGTGGAGGAGAAGGAATTTCATCTATCTGAAAGTAAGAATCTGGCAACTGAAGTAGCTGACTTAAATTGTTCGATGGATGGAGTAAAACTTGAGAAGTCCAGCTTAAATGACAGGATCTCTTCTCTGACCGAAGAGAGGAATAAGATTGAAGGAGAAATTGAGCATCTCAAACATGAGATTGACAGGCTGTCATTAGATTTGGTTGAAAATAAAGATTTGGTGGCAAGTCTACTGGCAGAAAATTCCAACATAAATGGGAACCTTGCAATTTCAGCTGATAAGATTAAAAATCTTGAAGATGAGAATCAAAGGCTCTCTTCTCAAATTATTGGCCTAAATGATCAATTGTCCACAGAAAAGGGGGAACAAATGAGGCTTGAAAGTGACCTTAAAGAAGCCACTGTGCGTTTGGAACAAATTTCCAAAGAAAATGTCTTTCTCAATAACACTTTGGATAAGCATAAGGCCATGATAGAAGACACTGGAAGGGAACACAGCCACCCGCTATCTCAACCTAGGGAACTTTGTAATCTAGCCAATGTTGTACGTGAACAAAGTAAGGGTGTTGAAATTGCAATTACTGAAGATTCTCAACATATGGATCAGGAGCCAGAGGAAGGTACACCAGTGGGGCCATATTTGAATAAACTTGAACATGAAATATTTGATGATTCTCTTGGATTTGTCTCATTGAAGGATTGCCTGGACAAGGCAGAGAATGGTTTGGTGAAGCTTGAAAAAGCAATTATTGAGTTGCATTCTCAATCAGTATCCTCCAGCAGGTCTGGTGAAAAAGTTTCATCACCTGTGGTATCCAAATTAATACTGGCTTTTGAATCAAAAGTACATGAAGATGAGCATGAGGGGGAAACAAGGGATTCCAGTTATGTTCAGTCATTGTCAAACTCATTTATTAAGTTGACCAATGATGAAATTCAAAATTTGAAAAAATTGCTTTCAAAGTGGAAGCTGGATGTTGAGATTGCGGGTGCATTATTCAAGGAGGAGCGAGAAGGTCGGAAAACTGGTGATGCAAAGTACAGCGATCTGAAGGACCAGTTTGACCAATTGAAGCAACATTGCTCAGATTTGGAAGCATCCAACATTGAACTTGATGTTCAATATGAAACTGCAAAGCAACTTCTCAGTGATATTCAAGAAAAGAAATTTCTTCTTGAGGAAATCTGTGATTCTTTGAAACAAGAAGATATCCGTCTAAAAGCCAAAAATAATGAACTTTATGAGAAGCTTGGATATTGCCAATCAAAAATTAGTGAATTGCATACTGAAATGAATGATGTGAAACAACTTTCAAATTATATGGCTTCTAGTGTTGGCAGTCAACTGGAAGGTTTGCAGAAGGAGGTGACAGAGAGGGCAATGCTACTTGAGCAAGGCTGGAATATGACTGTGGCCCAAATTGTTGAGTTAGTTGGGAAGCTGAAAGAATCGGTTGGTGGAACTTTGTGCACAACTCTCTCTTCTGATACTCATGGTTACCTGGATATCTGCCATCAGTTAGAAGTTTCATTTCATGCAGCTGCTGAAATGATTTTTGATCTGCGGAAGAAACTTGAAGCTGCTTATTCAGAACATGAAATAATGTGCACATCATATAAAGAAATGGATGTAAAATGTGATGATCTGCTTGGGAGGAATGAACTGGCTCTTAGTTTATTGCATAAGATGTACAGTGACCTGACGAAACTTGTACTCGGTAATGGTGGGATTATGGATGATGATAATATAGATGTACAAAGTGAAGCGCTGCCAGATCTGCTGAACTATAAAAGCTATCAGCCCATCTTGAAACATATTGGGAATATATTGATGGAGAATCTTGAACTTGAGTCTGTTACCAAGGAGATGAAGTCAGAATTGATGCACAGGGAGACAGAATTGGAAGAATTGAAGATGAAGTGCCTTGATTTGGATTCTGTTAGTAAGCTAATAGATGATCTGGCAGGTGTGCTGAATGCAGATATTTCAAAGCTTGATATGAATAAGTCACCCGTTTCGTGCTTAGATTCATTAGTGTCTAGTCTTATACAGAAAACCAGAGAGGCTGAAATCCAGTATCACACTACTAAAGAAGGATATGGATCTAAGGAGACAGAATTGGACGAATTGAAGGAAAAAATGCATTATCTAGACACACTTCGTCTTGAGAATGAAAATGAAATCCTTGTTCTGAAGGAAAGCTTATATCAGGCTGAGGAAGCTCTTGCGGTTGCTTGTTCTGAATTACAAAAAAAATCAAATGAACTTGAGCATTCCGAACAGCGGGTGTCCTCCATTCGAGAGAAACTTAGCATAGCTGTTGCCAAGGGGAAAGGGCTGGTCGTACAGCGAGATGGCCTCAAGCAGTCATTGGCAGAGACATCCAGTGAATTGGAGAGATGCTTGCAAGAATTGCAGTTGAAAGATACTAGACTTCATGAGGTTGAAACAAAACTTAAGACATATGCAGAGGCTGGTGAGCGTGTGGAAGCTCTGGAATCTGAACTTTCTTATATCCGTAATTCATCTAATGCCTTGAGAGAGTCGTTTCTTCTTAAAGATTCCATGCTTCAGAGAATAGAAGAGATATTGGAAGTCTTAGATCTTCCAGAGCAGTTTCATTCAAGAGATACAATTGATAAGATTGATTGGTTGGCTAGTTCAGTTTCTGGAAACTCATTGCCAATGAATGATTGGGAACAGAAGGATGCTGTGGGAGGAGGATCGTACGCCGATGCTGGTTATGTTGTCACAGATTCGTGGAAAGATGATAGTCAGCTACACCCAGACTCAGATGATTTTAGAAAAAACTTTGAGGAGTTGCAGAGTAAGTATTATGGGTTGGCTGAGCAAAATGAAATGCTTGAGCAATCATTGATGGAAAGAAACAGCTTAGTTCAGAGATGGGAAGAGCTTGTAAATAGTGTTGAAATGCCTTCACATTTGCAGTCTATGGAGACAGAGGATAAAATTGAATGTATATGTGCAGCACTTACTGAGGCGAATCATCATATAGATGCTCTGCAACTGAAGATTGAAAACTATGATAGTTATTGTGGATCGCTAAATACCGATCTGGAAGAGTCTCAAAGGATAGCATCTGCCCTTCAAGATGACCTTAGTGCTCTTACATCTGAGAGAGGGCACCTTTCTGAAAAAATGGAGTCTTTGTTGCATGAGTATGACAAATTATCATTGCAAACAAGGGAGGCTGAACTTGAGAATGAAAACCTGCATAAGGAAATAACTAGTTTGAAGGACAAATTGGAACAAAAAACTGCAATTGAAGAACAAATTTTCACTATTGATGGAAAAATCAGAAAGTTGCAGGCCTTGGTTGGTGATGCCTTGTCAGAATCTGAAACACAAAATATGGTGTTTGGTAATGCAAATGTTGATTCCTTGGAAGAATTGCTGGGAAAGCTTGTAGAAAAGCTGAACATGGAACGAAAATTATCTGCACTGACAAGAGAAACTGAACTTGAGAATGAAAAGCTATATAATGAAATAGCTAATTTGAAGGGTCAATTAGAACAGAAAACTGCCTCTGAAGAACAAATTTTCACTATTGATGGTAAGATCAGAAAATTGCATGGTTTAGTTGGTGATGCCTTGTCAGAATCTGAAACACAAAATATGGTGTTTGGTAATGCAAACATTGATTCCTTGGATGAATTGCTGGGAAAGCTTGTGGAAAAGCTGAACATGGAACAGAAATTATCCGCACTGACAAGAGAAACTGAACTTGAGAATGAAAAGCTATATAATGAAATAGCTAATTTGAAGGGTCAATTAGAACAGAAAACTGACTTTGAAGAACAAATTTTCACCATTGATGGTAAGATCAGAAAATTGCATGGTTTAGTTGGTGATGCCTTGTCAGAATCTGGAACACAAAATATGGTGTTTAGTAATGCAAGTATTGATTCCTTGGAAGAATTGCTGGGAAAGCTTGTAGAAAAGCTGAACATGGAACGGAAATTATCCGCACTGACTAGAGAAACTGAACTTGAGAATGAAAAGCTATATAATGAAATAGCTAATTTGAAGGGTCAATTAGAACAGAAAACTGTCTTTGAAGAACAAATTTTCACCATTGATGGTAAGATCAGAAAATTGCATGGTTTAGCTGGTGATGCCTTGTCAGAATCTGAAACACAAAATATTGTGTTTGGTAAAGCAAGTATTGATTCCTTGGAAGAATTGCTGGGAAAGCTTGTGGAAAAGCTGAACAAAGAACAGAAATTATCCGCACTGACAAGAGAAACTGAACTTGAGAATGAAAAGCTATATAATGAAATAGCTAATTTGAAGGGTCAATTAGAACAGAAAACTGTCTTTGAAGGACAAATTTTCACCATTGATGGTAAGATCAGAAAATTGCATGGTTTAGTTGGTGATGCCTTATCAGAATCTGAAACACAAAATATGGTGTTTGGTAATGCAAATATTGATTCCTTGGAAGAATTGCTGGGAAAGCTTCTAGAAAAGCTGAACATGGAACAGAAATTATCTGCACTGACAAGAGAATCTGAACTTGAGAATGAAAAACAGAAGACTGCCTTTGAAGAACAAATTTTCACCATTGATGGTAAGATCAGAAAATTGCATGGTTTAGTTGGTGATGCCTTGTCAGAATCTATAACAGAAAATCTGGTTTCTCGTAGTGCAAATATTGATTCCTTGGAAGAATTGCTGCGAAAGCTTATAGAAAATCATTCAAATCTTTCATCAACGAATCCTGCATATGGGGTTGTAGGTGATGGATTCCATTCACAAGAAGATGGTGGTACACTTCATGAAGAAAGAAGTATAGCTGTGCATGATAAGGAGACAGATATTGATGGATATAAAATAGATCTGGAGAAGTCTTTGGATGAATTGATGCATGTGAAGGAGGAGAGAGATAGATCTTTGGAAAAACAAATATCTTTATCTGGTGAAGTTGAAGCTATGACTAAAAGAATTGAGGAGTTGCAAGGGCTTCTTAATCAGGAGGAGCTGAAATCAGCTTCTGTGAGAGAGAAATTAAACATTGCAGTTAGGAAAGGGAAGTCATTGGTTCAGCAACGAGACAGTCTAAAACAAACCATTGAAGAGATGACTGTTGAAATGGAGCACTTGAAATCTGAGATCAGCAACCGCGAAAACACTCTTGCGGAGCGTGAACAGATGTTAAGACAGTTGTCATCCTACCCAGATAGGTTAGAAGCACTTGAATCTGAGAGTTTGCTTCTGAAGAAACATTTGAAAGAAACTGAGCACCATTTGCAGGAGCAAGAATGTTCTTTAAAACAGATTTTGAACATGTTAGGTCAGATTGAGGTTGGTGGTGAAGGTCACATACGTGATCCGGTGAAGAAGTTGGAATGGGTTGGGAAATTATGCTCTGATCTACATAATTCTGTGGGATCTTTAGAACAAGAATCTAGGAAGTCTAAAAGAGCATCAGAACTCCTATTGGCAGAGTTAAATGAGGTTCAAGAAAGGAATGATAGTTTTCAGGAGGAGCTCGCCAAGGTGACTGCTGAACTTGTGGATGTCAGAAAAGAAAGGGATTCAGCTGAAGCTTCCAAACTGGAAATGCTTGCACGTCTTGAAAAGTTATCAGCCTTGCATGAGGAGGGAAAAAAGAGCCATTTTTCTGACATCATGGAATTAAAGTCTAGTCTGAACCTAGGCCGCAAAAGCTTTGGTGAGGTTCACAATTTACTGTGCAATGTTTTTTTCTTTCATTTGGAATCTTGTCAGAAACTGGAGGCTGGTCTTGAGTCATGTATGAAAGGAAACAATGCTACAAATATGGTGGATTCATCCATTAGCAAAGAGCACTTGGCATCTTCTAATAAGGTATTAATAACCTATGGATATTGAGCTAGCTAGTTCAAAATTATATTTTACATCAGTTTTTGACATTTTCTGTATTTTCAACTTTCTTTCATGTGGAACATTATGATCATAAGAATGTGAGAATAGCAAATATAAGATAAAATGCAGTTTGGTCAGTGTGTGACAGCCATGGGTTAGTTTAATTTCTTGTACTTTAAATTTTGGGGCTGGTGGGTGGTGAACTTTATTATTTCTTTATGTGCTATTTGATTATGCTGTGATCTGATGTATCTGGTTCCATCTGAATGCATCATTTTGAAGATTGTTCTTTTGTGCCGGCAGATTTTAATGTGTTAAGGTTGTGTTCCTGGCCTATGTTTAATAATCTGTGAATGGTTAGGGACTTTCCTTTTCTGATGTGCTGATGGATTTGAACAGATTTATTGCATCTTTGAGATATTTAGGATCATTATTTTATGTTATTTTTGTAGTTTCAGTCCTCAACCATCATTATATTGTTTGTATTGGATATTTTTTAATGAACAATGTCTTTTCGAACTAGATGTTTTTGGTTTCCTAGTATTTGTCCATTTTTATCAGTTCTGGGTGGCATTACTTTCAATCACTTTTTTATTGAATGTAATTTTCTTCACTTTTTGTTAGTAATGGTAAATATGTTATAATGTGTTTTAAGATTAAGATTGATTGGAAATTTGAGTACATTGTTGTCTTAGTGTTAAGTCTATAATTTAAAGTGTAACATTTATATTATATATAGAATATTGCAAATGCAATTCCAACACAAACTCTCCCTCTCTGTTTGATGTTTATGACGCAATTTTTTTTACTTATATATGTGCCTTCTGGTTTGTGTTTGGCTTAATTGCACTCTGTCATTATATTACTATTTTCGGTAATATGATCTAAATTTCTTCTTAAATACTTGTCATATTTGTTCCAGAAGATCTCTGTGCCTGCAGATCATTGGGAAGATTTTGACACAATTGATCAATGCGATGATGATACTTCAGTTGAAAATCTTCGTTTATTTGGTCATCAACTGCACGAGTTCATGGTAAAGATTAGTTCTCTTAAGGAAAGAATAAGCATGCACTCAAGTTTGTCACAGGAGAAAGACAAAGCTCTATCCAAACTAATGGCAAGTATTCAAAGGGAAATGATTTCCCGAAAGGAGTTGTGTGAAACCATGAAGAAAGCAGTAAGTAAGCAGGATGAGAAACTTGTTGCATTACGTGGAAACATTGCCTACCTTTATGAAGCATGCAATAAATTTGCCATTGTACTTGAAAATGAAAAAGCTGAACTATCCGGGAAGAATGTTGAATCTTTAGATCTTGGGATTAACTTGGAAACTCCTTCATTTGATGATGACATATCTGAGGAGTGTATTAAAACCATGACAAATAGATTGTTGTTGGCTGTGAAAGGGTTTACTAGTATTAAAACTGAATTTTTAGATGCTAATCAAAAGGAAATGAAGGCTACTATAGCGAATTTGCAGAGGGAGCTTCAGGAGAAGGATGTTCAAAAAGATAGGATTTGCTCAGATCTGGTAAAACAGATCAAGGACGCTGAAGCTGCTGCAAACAGTTACTCTCAAGATCTTCAAGTTTTTAGGATGCAAGAATATAATTTAAAGAAAGAGGTGGAAGCCATTGAGGCAGAAAGGGAGATACTGGTACAGAGAGTGAATGAGCTGCAGGATAGGCAAGAAACCGCAGCTGAATTAGAGGAGAAAATGAGCTCTCAGACTGGTTTACTGGCTGCCAAAGACCAAGGTGGGCTTTCTCTGATCCTTGTATTTTAAGAAGTGAACTTGCAATATTTCTTTTATAACTGAGAAACTTACAATATTTCTGGAACTTACTGGTTTAATGCAGAAATTGAAGCACTAATGCATGCCCTCGATGAGGAAGAAACACAAATGGAAGAATTGACAAATAAGGTTGTGGATCTTGAAAAGGTTGTTCAACAAAAGAATCAAGAGATTGAGAACCTTGAATCTTCTCGTGGTAAGGTTATAAAAAAACTTTCAATAACTGTCAGCAAGTTTGATGAGCTTCACCACCTGTCGGCAAGTCTCCTTTCTGAGGTTGAAAAGCTCCAATCCCAGTTGCAAGAAAGAGATACTGAAATTTCATTCTTGAGACAGGAGGTTACCAGATGCACTAATGATGCTCTTCTTGCATCACAAATGAGCAACCAGAGAAGTTCTGATGAGATGTTTGAGTTCTTGATGTGGGTTGATATGGTTGTGTCTCATGCTGGGGTGCATGATATACATCCTGACATGAGGAACAATAGTCAAGTTCATGAATGCAAGGAAATACTTCATAAGAAGCTTATGTCTTTATTATCAGAATTGGAAAAGCTAAGGCAAGTTGTAGAAAACAAGGACGTGATGTTGCAAGTAGAAAGGATTAAGGTAGACGAATTGAATCACAAAACAGAAACTCTTGAGATGTCCTTAAACGAGAAAGAATTGCAATTGAATTTGCTTGAAGGTGTGGAAGACACTGGAAAGGAAGCTGGCACAAGCTCAGAAATTGTGGAGGTGGAACCATTGGTGAGGAAATCAATTATTTATTTAATAGTCCGTCATTTGCATTAGTACAAAAATCTTGTAATAAATCTGGATTAAGTAAAATTCTTTTTCTAATTAGAATCTCAAATTGAATAAAACATGAAAGACGATATTGTGACCTTGTAATGATTAACAACATTCTCATTAAATTTGTGAACTCAGCAGACAAAGAGTTTGAAGTTATGTTTGAGTTATCTTGGTTAAGATATGTGCACTTTTTTTATTCTGTCACAACCTTTATGCTCTCTGATTAGATATGATAGCTAATACTTGGCCTTTAAAACAATAAATAAATAAATAAAACTGTATGAGTAGTGATTAATGGAAATTAAAGATATTTTCTTTATGGTCATGACATTGACACTGTTATGGTTGATTTGAATTTGAAGAGACTGAATTTATTTGCCTTTTCTTTATAGATGAACCATTGGTCGCCATCAGGTGCTTTTGTATCACCTCAAGTACGCAGTTTGCGCAAAGGCAACAGTGATCATATTGCCATTGCTGTAGATGTAGACCCTGGTAGTACTAGTAGGATAGAAGATGAAGAGGATGACAAAGGTAAACAATTCTGCACTAAACCTTCGTACTGGTTTCTGGCGCTTTCAGCAATGCCTTATGGTTCCTTTTATTTAATTATGATTTCCCACTTTTTGTTGCAGACCATGGTTTCAAATCCCTCACCTCATCCAGAATTGTCCCAAAATTCACTAGACCTTTGACTGACTTGGTGGATGGCTTATGGTGGGTTTTATATTTTCCCTATGCTTTCATGGTTGTAAATTTCTCAGTTTATTGAATGAATGGTTTGCATTCGTTGCAGGGTTTCTTGTGATCGGGCTCTAATGAGACAACCCGTCTTACGGCTTGGAATTATATTCTATTGGGCCATAATGCACGCACTACTTGCCTTTTTTGTTGTTTGAGGCGAGGGGCCCTGATTTGGCTTTTGTATGGTTAAGCCAGCCACAGGAAGTGCCACCTCTATAGATTGGGGTTTACATGACTGACTCCACTGATACTTGGAAAAAGGACTGAGCTAAGTTGTACAGTGTCTTCCTTCTGCTTGCTTCTTGTTGTGGTGTGAGATCAACTATAATAAAATTAAAGATGCAGTTGCGACAGAGAATTACAGGCAGAGCATTGAAGAAAATATGAGAAATCAGATTGCTCAATATTTGGAGAGCAATGGATAGATTCAGCTCCATAAACATTCTAGTTGGTTCTTTTTAATATATGCCTTCAAGATGAAAAGTACTATCTATTGAAGGATAGTCCTCGTGTCTTGAAAATCATGGGACATTCTGGTGAGCAGGATAAATGACCAGTTGGTGGGTATATAGGAAACAATTCTTTTCAACTTTGCTTATGGTTTTTTATCTGCCTAGGCATTAGAAATTTTACAGTTGCCATTCTTTGTATTCTCACATCAATCGTAGCATCGTTATGAATTTTTAGCAGTTAGTAAAAAATTGAAATATATATTTACATGTAAACTCGAAATATATTTAGGTTTTGACCTTCGGATATATGCTTGCGTCATTTGCTTCCAAGTAGTAAATTAGCGTATGATTCTTCATGTTTTCTTTTTAATATAAACCAAAGAAATAAAATAGTTGCATTTTGTGACTCTATTAACAACTGTATCGTGCACTTTTTAATGGTTTCCCAATGAAAATAATATTCTTGAGGTCTACTTGTGACTTTGGCTTGTATTGTTGATACTTTTTCTCCAGTTAACGTAGATTCATATCATATATAATCTGTAAGATAAAAGTATAAATCACGAGCAAAATGAGCAATGAATTATACTTGTTTCTTAAGCCACGGCAAAATGTTATTTTAAAGGCTCCCGACAAACATAAATAATTTTTGTTTTCATCGTGGCAAATAAATTAGATGATATAACAATGCATAACATTTGTTTCGATAAGTATGTCAATTAGGTTTTATTTAATCATTAATATTTAACAAACAAGTTGCTAAATTTTGGAATGATAATATTTTTTGCGAAGGTAATTTTAATGTTGTTATCATTACTTATTTTGTTTCATGATAAGACGTTAGAAACTTATGAAATATCAATTTATCTTTAATATAATTTGCAATCATTAAATTTCATCGGTTACAAATTCTTAAATTACAAATACTAAAATATATTTAATTTTTTCATTGTGATAAGTACTTCCTCATCCTAAGGGTTTTGACTTTCCATTAAGCCAAAACCATATGTTTAATTTTCAAATATTGATTTTCTGTTTGTCAGTTAAGTACTTACTCCGCCAAGTACTTACTCCGCCTGACTTAAGGATTTTAGCTTTCCATCAGGACTGACTTTTTGTCCGATAACATGTGATTTAGTAATCGTTTTGGACATTGGTAGTCGGGTTAATCATCATGCATGAGATGGAGGAGTAACAGGAGGTGGTTTGGCAAAGGTTATGCACCTTTTCTGTTTTGGGAAGAGGAGTCCTTCGTCTTTAAGAATCTCAGCACATCATTGGTATTTCCAAGAGGGATATGGTCTCTCTTGGCGATGGAGTCCGATCTAAGGACCTTTTCATGGTTCGAATCTTCTATTAGAAAAGACCTCCTCTGTAGTCATTATCTTCATCGTCTGAGTCATTGCTCTCCTCATCAGTGGTGTCTCCAGTGTGGTCGCAACAGTCACACTTGGAATTGCACATGTCTTGGACAGCGTCCCAGATGAAGTGTCCTCCTATCTTATCAGTTTATAGGCTTGTCGTCAGGGTACAGGCTCACAATGGAGATTTTGCCTTCTTTGGTGACCAGTGATATCATCATGGATTGGAGATTAAGGTGCTTGAACTGGGAACATCTTCAGGTTTTTTGAAGATGATCTTGACTGTGTCGTCTACAGATTTTCTAAAGGTCGCCTCAGTGAACTAGATAAAGCTTCTCATAGTTTGTCACACACTGCATCGGAATCAGCTTCTGCAACTCTTGTTGAGAGATATTTTTTGGGATCTTAACTATGGAGGGTTTTTTTTATCTTGGTTGTTAGCCAAGACGAATAGTACTCCGTCTTTACAGGATGGTAGCGCAAGATTTATAACATGATTTTGCAACTTGTAAATAGTATGATGGTAGAGAGTGACTGATAGTGCATCAGTTACCTGCTCAGTTCTAGTGATCTGAATCTGAAACTTTAATCTCTAAGAGATGGTAGGATCTTTCAAACTACACTCCGGACATGAAAAGTAGTCAGAACAGTGCCGATAATGGTATGTTTATAGTGGAGGTAGCTAGAGTATAAAAGAGAGACTCTTGCTGAGACGGGTAGTTCCCGTCTTCCATGGAGGAAAATGACTAACCGAATGGCTCCGTAGTAGAAATGAGTGTATCCTTCGTTTTGACGTACTCATCTTCTGTGGTGGAGGCAAGGGCACACTGGTCCATTATAGAGAATTGGACATACTCCTTGACTTAAGGTCTTTTGGTAAAGATAAAGTCGGGAAAGAGATCTAAAGGTGGATCTTTGTCTTCGAAAAATATTATAAGGACTCAAAAGATGACTATATGTTTCGAAGATTTGGGCATTTTCTGGGACATAGGAATATTCTATAAGGTTTTATATCTTAGAGGAAAGAGTTTTCAAGATGTTTTTGGAAAGAGAAAGAGTGGAGTTTAATAAGACGGGATCGGAGTCGGTTGGTGATATTTGGTTATTAATTTCTAAAGGTTTCTCTTACTCGCCTTTTGCATATATTTCCTACTATCATACCCCCTTATGAAAAATGGTTAGGCTCTGATACCATTTCGGACAAAGACCCCTTCTTATCCAGACGATATGAACCTCCTCGGACATACGACGTCATCCATCGGCTAAAATCCCACTCAAGTTCATATTTCCTATAAGAAGAGCGCTCTGCAGTAAAATGGTTTCAGGAATAAGAAACTTTCTGATACACAGGATTCTCATAAGAAGAAAGTGTAGAGCATACTTGCATCTAAGTGAGGAATGATACTAAGAACTATAAGCTTCGAGCTTTCAGAGAAGAGAAAACTTAGAGAGAGAACATTTTAAGAAAGAACTTGTATTGGATTAATTCTTGTTGGTTCTGAGTACAACATTACAAGACCTTCCTATTTATAAACAAACCACACAAGCGGAATTCAAACTTACGCTAAACTAAATGAACTTCGGACCTGAAATATTATACAAAGTGGAATCCGAATATAAGGTTACGACTCACACTCATAATGACCTTACAAAAAGACAAGATAGGATAAGATACTACGAGATATCTTACAAACAAGATAAGATATGATAAGATACCATATTCCTTTAGATAAAGTATTGATTTAGTCTCATCTTCATTAACACGTTTACGAAGTTCGCAATGGACATGTGTAAAGATAAGTGAATCTTGTTTTATTAGCATGTTATGATGACAATCATTAACTAAAGCCTTTACTCTAGTCAGATCTGGTGGAGCCAGAATGATTCATCTGTTGGATCTCACTCCTTGTCATGCTTCCATGTAGTGAGTCCTAGTAGGGATACATCTCCTTGTGCATCATCATTCCATCCATCAATTCTTCGTTGTAATCATTCGCTAAGTCTTCATCCTTCTGGAATTATTCTTTAGGTACGTAGATCTCAATCGTTGATTTAAATAACCTTATCAGATGAGATCCATCATCTTTTGGGACAATCCTATTTAGATGATAAGAACTAACCGGTCTTTGGGATAAGCTAGTAATGTTGGGGTCCAGTGGCTTGTAATGGTAGTTGTTGACTTCACAAAGGTGGCATGCCAGTTGTGTCTTATAACTTTCATCAAGTGGAAATTGAAAAACATAGAATTTACTCTATAATTTTATTCATATTATTTTTGTACATAGATACTATGATCTTATAGTATTTTACTCCAACAAATCAGGGACTAAATAAAGGAAGTTCTGATTATACAATATTTTGTACAGCTATACAAATCTATAATTTATCTAATCAAATATCTTTATCCCAACACTCCTCCTGAAGTTGGTAAATGGATGTCATGCAATCCCAACTTGTCCAAAAATCTCCTAAAAATCTGACTTGTTACAGCTTTGGTAAGAATGTCTGCCAGTTGATATTCAGATCGAATATTTGACAATTCCAGAATATTTTTATCAAGCTTTTCCTTAATGAAAAATCTATCAACCTCCACATGCTTCATCCGATCATGTTGGACAGGGTTGTGAGCAATGTCACGCGCAACTTTATTATCATAATACAACTGAATGGGACGTGTATGTGCATATCCTAAATCCTGGAGAAGTAGTCTGAGTCATAAACCTTCACAAAGTCCAAAAATCATTCCTCTAAGTTCAGCTTCTGCATTGGATATAGTTACAACTTTCTGCTTTTTGCTTTTCCATGTGACAAGATTACCTCCTACAAATGTAAAGTATCCAGAGGTTGATCTTCTATCATCAAGAGCACCTGCCCAATCTACATCAGTATAAACCATCACATCCTTGTAGTTGGAGTTCTTCTTGAACATAACTCCTTTTCCAAGAACAGCTTTTATGTACCTTATTCGTATAACAACATCCATGTGTTTTTCACCTGGATTATGCATAAACTGGCTAACTACACTAAGAGCATAAGTGTGTGAGAGATACATCAATCTCCTTACAGGTCTCTTATATCTTCCCTTGTTAGTTGGAGTTTGATCTTCTTCAATGCACAACTTCAATCCCTCTTCAATTGGAGAATTTGTTGGTGTGCATGTTGTCATTCCAGTTTCTTTCAGTAAATCTAATGCATACTGTCGTTGTGAGAGAAAAATACCTAACTTTGATCTTGAGACCTCAATTCCAAGAAAATACTTCAAAGGACTAAGATCCTTCATCTCGAATTCCTTTGTCAAGTACTCTTTCAATGCCTTGCGTTCCTCTAGATCGTTTCCTGTAA